GAATAGATGAGTAGGTCAACAGAAGAGAATAGAATTCATAAATACAGCCACATAAATGTAGTCACCCGGTCTTTGACAAAGGAGTAAGCATAAAACAATTACGAAAAAACACCTCTTTAACAAATAATACTGGATAACTGAACATTAGCATTCAGTAAAATGATTCTATACACAAACCTTATACCCTTCATAAAAACTAATTCAAAACAGATGTAAATGTAAAACACAAAACTATAAAGCTTCTAGAAGATGACATAGGTAAAAACTGAAATGGCCTTGGGTTTGTTGATGACTTTTTAGATGGGATAACAAAGGCCCTATACATGAATGAAAAAATAAACTGGATGTTAATAAAATTAAAAATTTCTGCTCTGCAAAAGACACTACGAAGAGAATGAAAAGATAAGCTACAGAATGGGAAAAATACTCATAAAAAACAAAGAAGATAAAGGTCTATTTTTCAACATATAATAAAAATTTTTTAAAAAACAAAAATCCCGATTAAAAATGGATCAAAGCTGGGTGTGGTGCTGCAAACCTGTAATTCCAGCACTCTGAGAGGCTGAAGCTGCAGGATTTCAAATTCAAGTTCATCCTGGGCAATTTAGCAACTTAGAGCAACACTTACCCTGTCTCAAAAATGATTAAGGAAGTAGCTCAGTACAATGGCCCTGGGTTCAATCACCAGAACAATCAATCAACCAACCAATGGGTCAAAGGTCTGAACAGACACCTCACCAAGAAGATATATGGGTAGCATATAAAATTACAAAAAGGATTCCACATTATATATCATCATGGAAATACAAATTAAGATAATGATGATATACTGATACTACTACATATCTTACAGATGGCTAAAATGACTACACCAAATGCTGGCAAGCATGTGGAGCAATAGGAAGCTTCATTCATTACTGGTGGCAATGGAAAGTGGTTCAGTCACTTTGGCAGTAGCTTATAAAATTAAATATGAAATAGCAATCTTACTATGAACCAAAGTAAGCAGATGAGCCAACAGTCCTACACATTGGCATTTATCTGAGTTAGCTGAAAACTTGCATCCATACAACCTACACATGAATGTTCACAGTATCATTATTCATAATTGTCAAAACTTGGATACAACCAAGAAGTCCTTCAGTGAGTAGACAAACCGTGGTACATCCAGATAATGGAATATCATTCAACACCAAAAAAAAAAGAACTATTAGACCATGAAAAGATGTGGAATCTTAAATGTTCAATACTACCTGTAAGTGAAAAAAGTCAATCTGAAAAGGCAGAGATAAAAAGAATAATAATTACAAGGGATTGGGAGAAGGGAGAAATAAACAGGCAGCTCACAGGTGCTTTTAAGCACAATGAAAATTTTCTATATAATACTGTAGTGGTGGCTGCAGTACATGTCATTACACATTCTTTCAAACCCACACACCGCAAGAGTGAATAATAATAACAACTCTGAGCTTTCAGTAATAATGATGTGTCAAATCGGGTTCAATAACTGTAACAAATGTACCATTCTGGTGGAAGATATTGGTGCACTAAGAGGTTATGCATGTGTTGGCGTAGGAGGTGTTTGGAGAATTTCTGAATCGTCCTTTCAGTTATGCTGTTAATCTAAAACTGCTGTAAGAAAACTAGTCTTTAAATTATTTTTTAAATTTAGGCTCTGCATGCTATATGATATATATCACAAATATTCAACTCTGCCATTATAGTGTAAAACAACCATCAATTATAGGAAAACAAATGAACGTTGGTGTGTTCCTATATAACTTCATTTATAAAAACCATTCACCATATTTGACTCATGAGTACAGTTTATCAAATCTTGCTCTATACTATACACTTGTATAGAGAATGCTCTATACTCTCAGAGTTTTTAGCCCTCTGTGTTATTCTTTGTATGAGCTGTCCCTATCATAAGCCCTTATCTAGAACTTTGGTATACAAGCTTACCTTAGAAGATTTAAACAAAATTTATGTCTAGGACTGGGGATTTAGCTCAGTGGTGTCACTGCCTGCCTCATAAGCACAAGGTCCCAAGTTCGATCCCTGGTACGAAAAACAAACAAACAAACACAACAGACATGTCTAAAAATGAAAGTTGGGCTGGGGATTTAGCTCAGTGGTTCTACCGCATGCTTAGCAAGTGCAAAGTCCTGAGTTTGATCCCCAGTACCGATAAAAACAGATGACAGTTATCACTTTCTCCTACCAAGCCTGCTCTTCTCACTACAGCCCCTATATCAGTGATTGGCAACATTTTTTTTCCTCATTGAGTTTATTGGTACATTTTAGGTATACAGTACAGTTACATTCATTATTGGGAACTTGTACCTTTACATGACAGGTCTTGGTTCTCATTTTTCCCCTTGTCCCTGCCCTTCCTTCACCCCCACCTCCCCTCCCCCTTTACAAACACTGTATTTCCATTTTTTCATTTTCTCATATTTTTTTCTTTTCCCTTATTAGCTTTCCCCTACCCTTCCCAATTTCCCTACACCTTTAGCCCCTTTGTTCCTATTTCACGTTGTCAATTATATCATTAGGATCTTATATTGGCAACATTATTAATTCTAGGCATTTCTCTGGACTTCTCTCCCTCCTCACCTGCCATTGGTCCCCAAACACTATTACATCTGTCTTCTCCCTCTCTTCATTTCCTGTCTAGGCCCAGGCCTTTACTATCTCTTGGTTAGACTACTGTAATATCTTGCATCAAGACTAGATTACTTGCAGTCCCTCAATTACAGAGTAATGTTTTACCTGTCTTTGCCACTACGTATTTCCTTTTGCCTGGATTCCTGCCCCTTCTCCAACCTTAACTTCTACTCTTATATCTTATTTTCTTGGTGAACTCCTACCATAGTATTATGTCTTGGGTTTAGAGGTCTCCCTAAAGCCTCATGCTTTTTCAGAGGGGGCTGAACCTACAGTGTATGATTGATTCATACTGGGACTAGGCCTAAGGGCACTGGGATTAAGGGCATGAGTGCTACCCACCCTAAGTAGTCTGAACAAGATAAAAGAGGCTGCCAGGCGTGGTGGCTCAGGCCTGTAATCCCAGCACTCAGGAGGCTGAAGCAGGAGGATCGCTGCGAGTTCGAGACCAGCCTGGCCTACAGAGTGAGTTCCAGAGCAATCTGAACTGCATAGTGAGACCGTGTCTCAACCCCTCCACAAATTAAATAAATACATAAATACATAAATACATAAATAAATAAAAGAGGCAGAAAAACACTGTTAAGTTCCCTTTGTTGCTTTTGCTGTCTTCCCCTACCATGAACTGTTGCCCCTCTGTCACCCTGTCTTGGAGCCAGTCGACTATGGACTGAAAACTCTACAAACTCTAAGCCAAATAAACCTTTTCCTTTTTAACTTTGGGTGCCTGGTATTTTGTCTCAGCAATCAGAGAAAAGTAACCAACACAGATAGTCATTGTTCAAAGCCCAGCTGAAACAGTCTCTTTCATATTTAACCATTGTCTCCTCAAATCTACTTGGTTTAAACAGAATATCCTTGACAATCCCAACATGTATGTTCTAAGACCCTCAAATCCATGACTAGTTGGGAAATTTAAGTATAAATATCAGGGCTTTAATAACTGGTCTATTAAATACTGTAATTTAAACTGTTCACTTCAGTAACATAATTACATCACTAATATAAACCTTTAACTTAAGCTGAAAACAATAAACCTATTATCATTTCAAAAATTTATTCCATCTATAGCCATAAATCAAGAACAAAGAGCAACCTTTCGGAAAACCTTGCTCTCACATAGCAGTCAATGTGAGTCAAACATTGATCTTAGCAAAATTACAATTTCTTCCTTTAAAACACCTTTGGAAATCATTAAAACAGTGTTAAGTACATAAATGTTAACATCCTACCATACTTCTATCATGTCAAAAAATATGTACTGTTTTGATGAGAATGTGAGCTTCTTGGAGATAGTCCACTGTTTGGTCATTGTTTCTCATATCAAAGTTGACCTAACAGAAAGCAACCATTCCAAAGATGTTTATTTAATTAAACTGCCACTTCATTGGTCTCCTGCTTCCAGGTCATCTTCCTCTCCAAAACCTTCCAGTTCTTTTATAAAAACACATTTCTGATGTTGCTCAGTTGCCCCCAAAACCTTTGATGGCTGTTTATAATCTCCTTTACAGAATTATGTCCCTATACACTGACAAGGCATACAAGAGGCTTCACATCTTCCTCTCAGCTTTATTCCCAGTTTCATCTTTATTCTGTCCTTTTTACACAGACTCTGTTCATGTCACACTTGCTGTTCCTGGAACACTTTTGGACATTTATTATTCCAGGCCTTTGCAAATGCTATCTTCTCTATCCAAAAGGACTTTCTGGTTTCCTCTGCCTGGAAAACTCTTATTTTATTAAGAAAGCTCAGTTTAAATATCATTGCCTTTATGATTTTCCCTGGCCCCTCCCAGAATCACTATCTCCTTTATTTATTTTTCTGTACCATTGTGTTTATCCTCAAAATATACTTAGCTAATTTTGCAGGGAGGGGGGAGGGGAGGGGAAGGATTGCCGTCAATAGACTTACCCCAGTAGTGACTGCAGCACTACGTGTTAAGCATGTTGTTCAAGCAGTAGTGGGAGGATAGGGCTGGATGACCTTTAAGTCATGAGATGGTAGGGTATGCATCTTTCACACTGTATGTGGATGTATTTGTGGGAGGGGGGAGGGAGAGGGAGAAGAAAAAGTGGAGGAGGGATGCGGGGAGACAGAGACAGAGAAAACAAAACTGGAGAGCAGAGGGTGGGCACAGTGCAGTAATAGAGGACGGGCAGGCCCAGATTTCTTCTGCTTTACAATTTTGCAGAGACCCAATCCGGCACCTAGCGCTAAAGCAACGAGTGGGGGGTGGGGGAAGGGCTGGGCGGAAAGGGGAGGAACTGCAATCCCTCTGAGTGTGCCCAGCCTGGACTGTCTGACCGATCACCTCCTACTGTCACAGGTCCAGTTCCTCTACGGCGCGACTCACGCCTACTGTGTCAGGTGGGGCGCCCTCAACAGTGCAGCCCCACAGGTGGCATCAGCTAGGTGAGACTGTTCCCGCCAGGCTAGGCAGTGGAGCGCCGCACAGCGCGCCTTCCCGCCTCCTAGCCGCCGCCCAAGCAGTTCCTACCCAGCTCCAGCAGACCTGCTCGGTCGATCTTCGAGCTGAAGATGCGGCGGGGCTGGAAGATGGCTCTGTCTGGGGGGCTGCGGTGCTGCCGCCGGGTACTGTCCTGGGTGCCAGTGCTCGTTATTGTCCTCGTCGTGCTGTGGTCCTACTATGCCTACGTCTTTGAACTCTGCCTGGGTAAGTGGGGCTGGGCACCTAAGGTGGGGAAATTATGCTCCAGCATAATCGTCTTCCCTACCCTTCATACTGGTGTCTCCTGGGTTCTCAGCCCTCACTCTGCGGCTCTTCTTTCTCTGCCTCTCCCCAACCTCTGGCTTTCCACAATGTGTCCTATGCTCTCCCATGAGAGTCCCACCAGGTCCCCATCGCCTCCAGCCGAGGATTTCTTATTTCTTTGCCTTACCCACAATAATTTTCAAGTTCTTCCTAGGGCCCCCTTTCCTCTTGTAGGACAACCACTTGCGCCTTATGCTCTTCTCTTGGGGGGTCCCTGCCTTACCCAATTGAAACCACATAATCTGTGCCCTTAAACTGCTCTCACTATGATTCCCACCAGTGCACCAACTGGAAGCCCCACCATTTGCCCTCCTGCTAGAATCCTACTAGGATTCTGTACTAGGGATTTCCTGTTAAGAATCCAAACATATTTCCTGACCCCCTTACTACCTGTCTCCCCCCACACACACATTCAGATCCGCCCTTCTTCTGCAATCCTGTCACACTGGCTGAAGTGCTTCATATCTTCACCCACTTGTGAACCCCCTCACAGTACACTCTGTTGGAAACCACGGAGGTCTCTCTTTTTACATGAGTATAAGCTCTCCCTTTTTCCTCAGCTACTCTAATGGGATAGAGTTTCTACACAAAATCCACTCCTCGCTCACTAGAGCCCCTGATTTTATCACTTAGATTCCTTCAAATCTCCTGCCTTTTTGCTTGGAGGACTGCTCAGTACCTTCCCATTAGGAACCCCACATTATTTTCTGACACCTCATATTACTCTGCTTTTATCACATGATGACCCTGCCTTATCGCCCATCTTTCCACACTAGAATGTTCTCTTTACCCTCCCAAAAGTGTTTCCAAAATCTATCCTAGCACATTACTAATCTAGACCATTACTTGTTTAATAATAATTCCTCCTTAATATCTTTTCTGAGAAACCCATTCCCCACTTCGCCCAGTACTTTTCCACTGTTAACATCACACTCTGTCATCCTCTTATATCCTCTAGGACTGCACTTGTCCCCTGTCTTCTCAAAGTGGGAAAACCTCTCCCCTACCTATTGAAGACTTGAATATTTTCCCCTGCTAGTGGGAGTTTCACTTCGTGTTCCTTCTCATTAGACCACCCCTCTTAATGACTCTTGTACCCTCACCTGTTACACTAAGATGCACTCCATCCCCTCCTTATTTATAACGTGGTTTCTGTGGTATACCTTGTACATTAAAATTCAGAATTATCCAGTATTTCCCATCACAACCCCCAAGTCCCTCCCTTACATTTTCTCACTTGCATTCCCCAATACTTCTATCCTTATTACTAATGGCCTTCAATAGTTTTCATTTTATATCTGTCTCCTGACAACAAAACTCCTGCTTTTTTCACAGTGAAATTTCCCCTAGCCCCTGCCTTTTCACATTGAGGAAACCCCATCTCCTCTCAAAAGAGAGACCACTAACATTTATCATCTCTTCAACACTAGAATTCCAGTGTCAGTACTCTAAAACTTGTGTCTACAGTTTTCCCTATTCATCTAGTGTGGGGTTCCTATTCTCATCATATTATAATTTCCACTTCCCCCATGGACATCTTCTCAAACCCAAGCCTTTCTAAAACTCCTTTTTTTTTCTTCAAATCAGAACTTCTTAACTTACAAATTATGGTTAATGTGCTATTGTTTTTCAACCGCGGGACCTGACTCCACTTACAACCACGTCCTCTTACATATCTGAGAAAGTAATATTCTAGTTTTAGGTAGACTGGGATGAACTCAGAGAGAAACACGTGATTTTTTTTTCTAATACTGAAATTGAAGAAAGCTAGTCTAATCAACTCTCTACATCAAATCACATTTTAATTTTTCTTACTTTCTTAGATACAGAAGATGCAGAAGGAGCTCTTAAAAATAAATTTCATTAGTTGCCTTTATAGATACCAATTTAAGTTGTTTTTCTTTTTTCTCAATCTGATATTGATCATTAAGCAGACTATGCAATGACTGGGACATTTTCCTATTCTCAGACTCACCACTTTGGTATTTTTGAATGATTGATTAAAGGGTCAAAAGTTTAATTCCAATATTATGGTATGGAGATTTCTTCTGGGATCAGTGCCATATTATAAGCACTATTGAGCATTTTGAACTTCTTCAGTACTTTCTCACATGAGCTTTTCCAGTAAATCTTTTTAAAAATCAGTAATGATAATGTGTAACACTTATATAGTGCTTACTTTGTGATAGAAAATGTTCCAAGAGCTATAAATACAGCAACTCTGTATATCAACTCATTTAATTTTCACAACCATATGAGGCAGGTATAATTACTGTTCCTTGATACAGATGTGTAAACTGAGGCACAGATGAGCAAATCAAGGTAAAGACCAAGTTAGAATCAGTGCCAATAATTAATTCCTCTAAGTTCTTATTTAGTCATATAACATTAAATCTGAAAGAAAATTTAGGGCTTATTTTGTTTTAATTCACATACTTGCGCAGTACTTGCTACAGACCAGTTTCTGAGTGACTACACACACACACACACACACACACACACACACACACACACAAAATTTAATCCTCCTAACCTTTTGAGGTACATGGTATCATCATGCCAAGCTTCCAGAGAAGTAAACTGAGGAATGGATAGAGTAAATTGCTTATCTAAGGTCACAAAGCCAGTACGTGTCCAAACTTGGTTGGCAACACAATGATATGAACCACAGTCCATACTCTTAACCATCATACTACCTTAATATCCTGCCTTCTCTTAACTATTTCGGTGCCAGGGATCGAACTTGGGTCCTTGTGCTTGCAAGGCAGGTGGCAGAACCATTGAGCTAAATCCCTAGGTATTTTACTTGGCATGCACAGTGTTTTCTTAATGTTTTGCAACAATTACCATTATTTCAGAATCAAAATAAGTGGGCGCTGTAGTGCAAACCTGTAGTCCCAGCACTTGAGAGGGTCAGGCAGGAGGATCACTTGAGCCCAGGAATTGGAGACCAACCTGAGCAACATAGTGAGACCCTGTTACCAAAAAAAAAAAAAAAAAAAAAAAAAAAAAAAAAAAAAAAAAAAACAAGAGAATTATC